AATGAAAAGAATGGACACTAGGACCACAGAAACAAAGGAACACATGAGAAAGACAAATATTTATTGGTAGTATTTATATCCTTTTTCCCATAAGGAACCCAAGGCAGCTTACACAATCTCAATCTTATCTTAACAACAATTCTGTGAGGTATGTTAGGGCTGAGAGTCTGTGACTGGACCAAAATCACCCAGTGTGCTTCATAGCCAAGTGGGGACTAGAACCCAGGTCTCCTGAGTCTCTAACCATGGTGTTATATTTGCTTCCTGTTTTATCCAGCACTAAGAAAGGTCCTTATATGCTCTTGCTCTGGCAATCTGAAAGGAATGCAGCAGGACATGCGAACCGTGACCCAGTGAACGTGTGACTAGAAGGTGGCAGCAAGCACACGCCAAAACTCTATTCCAGCTTCCTGAAATATGCTCCACACAGAACTCATATGCAGGAACATACACAGAGCACCATAAATAACTGCTACAATTTAATTACCATTAAATTTCAAGATGCCATTTTAATCAAAACTTGTCACAGGATCACAGCAATAATTACATGTACATTAATCTAATTGTCTGTCTTTTATTCAGGAGAGCCTCTAATTGAAGAACAAATGATTCAACTCTAACATACAGTTACAGAAGGATAGTTGGTATATGTGCTTTAAATAATACATTCTTTATTCAGTAACAATTCAGTAAACTTTAAAGGGGGGAAAGATGCTTTCTATTACAAAACAAGCAGTGATGTAGAGTCGAACATTTTCCAGTGCTTTATTTTTTTACTAAAAAAAAAACAATTTCTATAGTTCATTAGTAAAAATGAATGTATGCCAATTGCAAATACAGTATTAGGCAAGCTTGGCAGTTTCAAAATTGCAATTAATGTTTTTCTGGTGATTATGTTTAGGAAGCATGTGAGGGAATACATATATATTACTGAAATACCTCTAGGTCTCAGAGCAAAATTGAAACAAATAAACAGTGAAACTGAAACTGAAGGTGCTCCAAGAAAATTAGCAGAAGAGAGCTGAGCTCTGCTAAGGTAGATCGTGCACATTTGCAGAGGGAGTTGCTATACCTTGTGAGTCAACAGGCTTTCAGTACCTTTAGGTTTTTTCTTACATGTCATGCATAACTTTTTTTTTAAATTGCAAATGTTAATTAACTTTTTTTACTCAAACATTTCACATCAAGTACTGGCAGTATAGTGTGCCAAAAAACAACCAAACAAACATGGGGTACTTTGTTTGGCTTTGTTAACTAAATAACAGTAAACTAAACATGCTCAATTAGATCTCTCAAGGGCACATGTGGGGAATCTGTGGCCCTCCAGCCACTTTGGTTTATGCCTCCCATCAGCTCTTGCCAGTGCAGCTAGTGATGAGGGAACCTTCTGCTCTAGGGCATCACAAATAATCCTTATTTTCATTGGAAAAATTTCCCATGCATACTAAAAAAATCCTATACAAATGAACATAATTTGCATTAGGAAAAAATCCAGAATATTTTTCCATTTATTTTTGTAAAGAAAAACCAAATCACCAAAAAGCAGGAACTTGTTATCCATCCTGAAGTGCCATATAAGATTCTATCCAGCACCTTTGCCCAAACTTAAGGGGAATTTAATAATAAAGCTTTAAAATGTAAGTATTATTTAAAACTTGAAACCAAACCAGAATTTAATCACTTTCCTAACTAGAGATGTCACTGAAATTCAGAATTAGGTGTTAGGAGTACTTTCCCTAGTTCTGAACTTCTGTGCTAATTATACACTAGGAACAAACCTGCCTTCCAACACCTTTCTCTTGAAACTCACCTAGGATCAGTGATTAAAGGTTATCTGCTATGGCCTTTATTGGTCTTTTCTGGGAGTACTCTAAAGCTCTTGGGAGTATAATCTACTAGAACTTCTGAGTATCCAAGGATCATAGTGCCTGGTATCCTTGTTTCTGTCATCATTTTTATCGCTGCTACTGGATACATTTCAACAGGAAGCTAAAAGGGCAGCAGCAGGTGGCTCAAAAATGATTGAGAAACCTCCAGACTCCTCAACACTGAAAAGCACATGACAATGCCTTAAGATTTATCCCAAATGTTGCTGCTTCCCGCCTTATCTCATTTGGATGATTATAAATCATAATAATCTAAATAACAGGTGAGCGTTATTTAAGTCTACAGCTCAAGTCTACAGCTCTGATTATGGCAAGATGGCCTGATAAGGTAAACTGGAATGGTTAAAAAGTCCACTCCCCCACATTTATTCTTTCTCTCTTTACTGTTTCTTTTTATATTAAGTCATTTTCTTTGCCAAGGAAATAATACTCTAACTTGCTGCAATTTAGACTCTTAAGGCATTTTTGTTTGCATATTTTGAAAGGACTCTGAAATTGATAATTTTTTGTTGATTTATGGCATCTCATTTGAAAAGCTGTTCAATGCCTCTACTTTAGACACAGTGATAACTGACCAGGGCATGAGAATACTAGCTGAGGAAATTGTCCTGCTTATTTTCTGGCTTTTAAATTGAGATGAAGGACAACGGCACCTTCTGGACAGCTAAGATTTGAGGCTGGGATTATGGCTGTGATTCAGATTTTAAGCATTTCTGCTTACCTACTTGGAAAGAACTTTGAAAGGGGTATTCTCTTAACATCTTGTTTGAACTTTAATAAGACTTTAATTTTGCAGTTGTAAAATTTTGATTTTTATTAAAGAAATTTGGACATTATAAACTGACCTTGGCTGAAGCTCAGTGATGGAAGAGATGGCAGTCTTTCTCCTCCATCACCATTTTCTGAGGGAATTGATGGTTGTTTGAGCCAGGTAATTTTCTGTGGTTGATTTTGATCTAATTTACACATGATTTGTTACAAGGAACAATTATATCTCCCTGATGGGACTTGGGAAAGCTGCAATTTTTCTGGACCTGGTCCCCCTTGTTTTTGATTGTGGTGCTAGAGAACAAAGAACAAAGAATAAGCATGATGCAGCATGGGAAGGAGATCATTAGTCCCACCTGTTGATCTTGGAAAAGATTGGAAGTCAAAGCCCCCTGCTATGAAAGTCTGCACAATGCCTCTTTTTAACGAATTAATTCAAAATAATTTTAATAGAGATAGATTGGGACTAATAGTTCTAATATTGACAGAAGGCTGACTAATGGGCTTTATCTACCTCTGTCTCTTGTCCTCTCTCTCTTCTCTTCTCTTCTCTTCTCTTCCTTGATCTCCTCCTCCCCTAACCTTTCTGCTTTAAGCTGTAGTATTAAATTGTGAGTTTATTCACAGTTATGAAGAAATCCAAAAGGATAACATATGGAAGAGAAGAGGAGAGAAGAATTAAAGTGAGAAAGAAACCTGAATTGGATGCTGGAAAATAGATAAATTTGAAAAGAGATAATTGTTTAAGCTCCTTAAATTGAATATTAGAGACAAAATGAAGATAGTAAACTTTAATGGATTAAGCTTTCCTTTCAAGATTACTAAAGTAGTCTTTCATGAGTCTCAAGAATATGTTTTTTGAATATAGTGCCAGAAAGCCTTTCAAAGAATATGTCAAAGTTATTTGAGTACATGATAACTGCAACAAGAATTGCAGTTGCTTTTGGATGGAAATAATCACAGCCTGCAAGAATTGAAGAATGGAGAAATGGACTGGTGGAATATGCTGTGATGGAAAAGTTGACTGGTTGCGTACACAGAAGTTTATTAGAGAAATTTGATGATAAATGGAATTTTACTGTAATTATTAGTTGGATCTGAGGAGTTTAGAAAAGGAAAGGAAAGCAGTAGAGGAGTTGAAGTGATTGGAGGATTTGTTGCATAGATTACTGATTTCTTTTCTTGCTAAACTTTCATGGAGTGCTGAGAGACAGGAAGATAGAGATATCTGACCGTATAGGCTGGATATGTATAGAATTTCCTTGGCCACTTTGTCTATTTTAGTTTGCTTTGTTTGTTATAGGTCTTTTGTTTCACATTCTTTTCTGTCTATGTTAATATTTTTAAAAAGGTATTTAATCAACAAGAATAAACAAGAAGCAAATAGATTAAAAAATTTAGGCTTGATCCAAATAGCTTATTTCAGATGAGCCTATTCTCAATCAATCACAAGGAAGCTCCCTCATCACTGTTCTAGGCCTGCTATTTTCAGACATTTCCTTTATAAACTAAAACCAATAAAAACAACACACAACCAGGGTCAGTTGCGACCTCTTCGAACTGTCCCTTCCTATCCTCTTATTAGGAGAAGAGAGCACAACCTGTACCAGGATCACCAAGAGATGGAGTAGAGACAAGGGCAGCAATCAGCAGCAGCACAATGGGGATTGATCAGTGTGTGTGCTGGTTAGGCCGTCACTGAGCAACCTCCTCCAACAAGCCCTAACCCACACACACAGTGTGTGTGTGTCCCCCACCCCCCATTTTAGTCCAATACGAAGTTCCCTTTCTTTCTTCTTTTTTATCACTCTCTTGGTGGGCATGAAAGCTGGGAAAGTCTGCGTCCCGCCACGAGGCAGGAAAAACAGCTAGAGTCTGCCCTCCTGGCCCTGGAGGTAGAGCCTCCCCTGGCTGGTCTCCTTGTAAACTGCCTTGGGTTCCTTATTGGAGGAAGAAAGCCAGGATATAAAGGTGATGTTTATATCTTGCAGAGAGTTTCGGGTATTGGGCAGTAAGTAAACAAATATGATGATGATTAAATCGTGTGAGGGGGTTACATGTGACCCACTCACTAAGCAACACTACCCATTTAGCTTCAATAGATTTTTTAATCTACTGAACATGTGAAATTAATATCCTGCTTTGATGATACTGGACCATCAAGCTTTTCATACACTGGATGAAGGCAGGGGCTGACAGAGTGAAGTATTACTTCTGCCAACATTCCCTGTCCAACTCAAAGGGTTTGAAAAGAACTGAATATACCCAGATGAAGGACCAAAGTTTTCAGATTCATTTCTGGCTTTGTTCTTGCCTGTTCTGCTCCAGAACTACAGCTTCACTTACCTCTGCCCATCTTTCACAAAATCTTTTAAAGAAGATCCTCGGTTCGTCACTATAGCTTTTCCTCCAAGGCCAACAATAAGGGCAGTTAATATAGCACTCTTCCCACCTGAATGAAGCAACATATTAACACTTGATATTGTCTTAAGTCAATTTCACAGCCTATACAGAATTAATTTAAGCTTCTTCCAAACAAATGACATGCTTTTTCTTTCTTTTCTTTAAAAAGGCCTTTTACTAAAGATACTACAAAGCTATAAAGCACATAATTGTACCTTAATATTGAAAAAAAGTAGTTTGGCTTACCATAACTCAGCAACAACATTTGTCCATGGGACATCACCAGTGGTGGTCTCAAGCTCTTACAAATGGACTCTCCCTGAGACTGCAGTGTTTCTTTCAGTGGAAGAGCACCACATCTGGAATTGTGTCTATTTCTTTACTACATTGTGACTGGATACCAGAGATTCAACATTATGCCACCAGATAAAGTAATATAGAAGAGCTTATGATTTTACTCAGAGGATAATGGAGTGCTGTGGCCCAGGATCCACTGTTATGTATTCTATGTAATAAAAATAAATAATTAAAAAACAGCTCTGCCTATCCACTCCAACAATTACGGTCTTCATGGAAGGCTCTGTGTACTGAAGAATTTTCTTCTGAAGAAAGCATAGCAAGGGAATAAAGGCCATAGTGGAAGAAGGCTCCAACTCCACATATCAGGGCAGAAGAAGCCACACAGGATTTGTGGTTGAGCAGCAGCCTATCCTTGCCACCTTAAAGGAACATGAACAAGCTGGCAGGGATCCACAAAAACCCGAGACACCTTGCCTTCGAGATCCAGCTCCTTGAGACTGTTTGCCTAGAAGGTGGGTGTTCGTGATTATTTGATTCTAGAAATACTTTCTGTTCTAAGATACAGAAAATGGGTTGATTTTCTTATCATCAACCAAGGTTAAAACTATACAAAATTGAAAGCCAGATGTTCCCAAGGATTATTTGGAAAGTGAAAAAAGTTTACAATTGTTTACACCCATTCAGTACCTGTTTCAATTAATGAATTCGGAAGCAATATAGACCTTAACTATGAATAATATAGATTAGATGAGACTATTAAGACTCATTTAATTGCTTAACGTATTAAGCAGCTAAGTGCCTCAACTGAAACTGAAACTTGAATGAGGAGAAGAATGTGTATCAATTGCATGCAGACCCAAGAAAATGAATACAATGAACATAACCAGTCACTCATAGATGCTTAGGTTGTATCTACCATCCCCAATACATATGGTGCAAGTGGGAGTCTCTGAAATTCTATGACAACTTTGCAGTCTAATTTAACCACTACTTTAATCACCCACCCTGTTTTCGGGCAAAAAGGTGATTAACTGGGTTAATTTCCATACCTTCTCTCCCATAACCCTGACTCCAACAACATAGGTATAATAATCATGAATTCTATTTCCACGAATTGTCAAGGTAAATGTTTATAAACTAGGAAAAATTAATGCATTCTGAAGAAAAAACACGAACCACGAAAAGCCATGAAATCTTTGCTTCTACCTTTTCTCCTTGAATAGACACACTATTGCCCAGGCTCAGCTATACTGAACTCCTGGATTTCAAAACTGTTTTGAGGAGGCAGGTATCACTTTCCAACAGAAAAAAAAACCCAATCCCAAAAGACGCCGCCCCCCCCCCCCCAATCTAGATAGAGCAATAACCACTGCTAGGACTTCATTTATTGGCTAAAACCAATAAGGTGAAAGGTGGCAGCAGACTAGTTTCTCACAAAATAGATGTGCAGAATAATGGCTGCCCATGTTGCTTCCTAGCTTGCGTTCTACAGGGGCCAGAGACTTGCTTTTGTTAGCAGAAGCTGGAAGTCGAGAGATTTTGGCACATGGGGTAGACTGCACCTACTCCCTAGACAACCAGGATGAACCATACATCTAAAGTAAACAGTATAATCCTATACATATCTTCTCAGAAACAAGTTCCACTGAGTTCAGTGGGCCTTACAGGTAAATGAGAATAGGACTCTAGTCTTTGTATAAGGATATTGCAAGATGCACAACAGACAATTCTCTTTCATTTTTCTTCAATGTATTCAACCTATATTTAATATATTTAAATATTATTTATTTGAATATTTGATTTCTAGCCTGCCCCCTTAGTCACACAGCTCCCTGGGCTTTCTGTCCTGGTCGAGCCTTGCTTACACCAAAGAAATAAATAAATGTGACCAATGAAATGAACATAACTGATGGAGTAAATGTTTGATAGGTAATGAGTTTTAAATATCCATTATTATTACTACCACTAAATGAATTTTAATCTTTTTAAACTTCAATTTTTATTCACCTAAACTTTCTGTCTTAACTCCTCTGCCTTAGTTGACCCAAACACACACCCACGTCTTTATATTATTTATTTATTTAAAAATATGTGTGACTAAGTCAAAGAAACTGAAGGACCAGACTTCCAAGAAGCAAAGGCTGATCATCCCCTTATGCTGCAGGCTCTGGAGTCTCACTAGCTCATATCCTGTAATGTAAGTTACACATAAATAGGTCTACAATCCAGTCTTTCTATGACATTGTCACAAACTGCCCAATCAAAAATATTTTCAAAATAATGCTACAGTTCTCTTTCTATAAACTAGAACATGCCCTCGACACAAACGTCCCCCAAATCTTTCTATCTGTTCTATGTATTCATTCAATTTGTATGCCGCCCCACTAGCCATAGGCTCTCTGGGTGGCTCAAATCATTAAAATCCATTACAACATAACACAAAACACACAGCACCCAAACAAAAAGTTCCCAATCAAAGCAACAAAGAAGTAAAGATTATCTTAATCTCTTTCAAAAGCTAAATTTCTGAACTAAAACCTCTAGAAAACAGAATTACAATCCATTAAGAGAAAGTTTTTAAATGATTGTTTGAAATTTGTAGGTCAAATTATTGTTTTATAGTGTAGCCAGTGGCCCACTCTCCCACTCGTTGCAGGTTGGGTAGTGGGAGTCATCCTCAGGTTCTGAAGCGAAGGAGGAAAAGGAAGAGAAAGGGAGGTGGAACCCTTTGAAACTCCTTCAAAGTGGCTTAGTGAAGTTTCTCACACAGAGCATGAGAGCCATTCTGTTTTGGAAGAGGTGGAAAGGTTTTTAGGAGGAACCAGGAGCAAATGCCAGACCCAATTCTTGGCACACTAAAGAGGCACTGCCTGGCAAGAGGAGCCATTCAGCTGGAGAGACTCTCCTGAGGGTAGAGCCGACAGTCTTACTGAATGGAAGAGACTGAGAAGTTCCCAGTTTGGATTCAGCTCTTTACATGAGTGGAGGTTTCTCCTTCCAGCTTTGGTTAAAGGCTACTTGTTCTGTCCAATGTGGAGTTACAAGTTTAAAAAACGGCAGTTCCAAAGACCGTCTTGAGTTTTTGGAACCTGAAGAAAGAAGGGAAAGAACTAGCTCACAGTATATAAGACTAGGTTAAGCATTGTTGTTATAGTTTTGAAAGCCATTCTTATGCTGACTGAAGCCTCCAGGAGAAATATTCAAAACAAAGGCCTTCAGAACAAAGGCCTTTCATCCACAGTATTTGCCTTGCCAGAGGTGTTTTTGTCTGGGATAATGACCCCAAATGCAACTAATGCTAGGTTTGTGTTGATGTGAAGCATTTTATGTAAGATGAAAAACTGAAATTAAGTTCATCTTTGAGGGTGTAAGTGCAGGTTTAGTATGCTTATGGTTAGGTTTAACTGTTTAAGTTTGAGATTAATTTAGTATTTTGTGCATGATGTTCTCTGTTTTTTTTTAATCAGTTGTTATCCACCCTGGTACATAGTGATCATAATGAGCAGTTACTGATATCATCAGTCTTTGTGACACGAACTAAATTTCAGAAAAGTTATTTCTGTAATATAAACTGTTATAAAGCAGCCTTAGAACTTTAGGTATTAGACAGTATAGAAATGTAATTAATAAAATAATTGTGTTGAAAAGCTAGTACTATTATTTTGCTTACAGTTAAGAAAAAAAACTTACTTCCATTGTTTCCAAGTATGAAATTGATATTGGATCCAAAGTTGAAAGGGCCCAGCATTGAATGGCACATAAAGTTCTTCAGCTGGATTCTTTCAATTATTCCAACTTCTCCTGATACCTACAGATACATTACAGAGAAATATTTCATGCCAAGAAACTATCACCAAACTTCTGTAAACAAACTGGTCAGTCACAGATCCTCACAATCACAGATGTCTGTGTAGTGGGAACAACCCCATAGGGTGCCTATGCTACTCACTGCTAGCAAAATGTTCTACCAACACTTTCCCACATGCTTAAGTCTACAACCTGAAGTGCTATTGAACTCAATACGAAAATTTAGTTGAAAAGCTAATGCATAGTTTTTTGAACTTGCACTTTAGGTTTTAAAAATTCAGCTTTTGCACTGAGCTGAAGTTTACACTATAGTTTATAAACTGCACTTAAAGCCTAAACTAAGTCTGCACAGAAGTTAAACTGAAAGCAAAGGCTACACTTCCTGTTTGTAAGATGACTTATCTCCTAGCTACATCCGCAGAGTTGCAAATTAGTTTTAACCACTTTCCAAAAATACGTTTACTGAAGGTTTCTCACCGAGATTTAACACAGTCATTCAAGATGGTACAGATATAGCAGAGCTGAAGAAGTAAGTTTCTATGCAGTTACCTCCTTGAAATCTAGTTCTTGGCACTTAATGCCCTTGGCTGTGCCCTTGCTTCAGCATCAACTTATTATTAATAAATAGCTAGGACTGATCTTCTTGTTACACAGATGTTTATCTCACTGATTTACTTAGCTATTTCATCTGACATTTTGCCACTGGGGCCAGAAACTGGAGTTCCCCTCATGCTCTCATCACTCTAACTTATTTCAGGGCTAATATTAAAAAACTAGGTTGTGGTACTTATTGCTTACCAACTGTGAATTGGCATTGCTCTCACTCTGCAACAGTGATGGTTCCCCTTCATCATCAGAGTCATATCTGTCTTCTTGTCTAAGTCTTTTGTTGGATGCTGGTATTGGAAAACTTCCCTCTTTTCTTTTTGCCATAACTATAAAACAAAACAAAATGAAACAAAGTAAAATGAAACAAAGTAAAACGATCTCATTCAGCACACAATTACAAATTTCAATTATGGTACAACCACAATTTTAAATTCAATTTATTTTAATGTGGGAAATTTAAGCATGCGTCTAAAGTTTTATGTTTCCTAATATTTAGAGAGCATAGGGCATGCGAAGAGTAGCCATTTACTTATTTATTATTTTATATCCTGTCTTTCAGGGCACTCAAGGAGGCTCTGTTCCTCCTCTCTAAATCTTATCCTAACAACAACAACTCTGTGAGGTAGGCTGGACTGAGAGCCTGTGACTGGCCAAATGTTACCCAGCTGAGATTGCCTGAGTCCCAGTCCCATACTTTTAACCACTACACCACACTGCATGGAGTGCAACGTTTTTGTGTAAGTATACACAGGTATGCTTAAGCTTGGCTGGATCATTTCCACTATAGTTTAAGATCTAGTACAATATTTTAAAGAATAGGAGTTTATTTTTATTTTAGTAAACATTAAACATTTCAGAGTTATCAAAAATTGACTTTCATATATTAAACAAAAATTGATACATTAGTATAGTAAATAAAATAATCAAGCAGAACAGCAATCATTCAACTTCCTTGAACAGTATAAAGAGATTACATCCTTTCAGAACCTAATGTGAATGTAGTTCTTTTAACTGTAGATGGAAAAAAACCAAGATGTTCAAATAAAATTGAGGGAATTGGTTGTCTTTTGTTTTTCACAAATACAAAGCAAAAGTATAGGAAAAATACTGTTCTAATGAATCATAAACTCAGTCATGAGTCATTGTTTCAAGCACCAACTGATCTTCAGGAATTCTTTAATTATTGCTGAACCTCTTTCCCTGTCTAAATACTCAATGCAAGATACATCATGATCTAGGTTTCAATACTGAGAAAGTAAGGACATTATAAAAAAGGCAAATTGGTCACAAGATAGATCTATACATAGGATGTGCACTAGGATTGCATATATAGGGAAGGAAGGGAAACTGATTGTCTAAGAGTTGTTGTTGTTGTTACTTGCCATCAAGTTATCTCCATCTTTATGAAGATCCTATGGATGAATGTCCTCCAAAATGTCTCATCCTTCACAGCCCCGTTCAACTTTTTGAACCTCAAGGCTGTGGCTTCCTTTATGGAATGGATCCATCTCATAGTTGGTATTCCTTTTCTTCTTCTGCCTTTAACTTTCCCTAGCATGATTGTCTTCTCCAGCAAATCTTGCTCTCTCATGATGTACCCAAAGTATGACAGCCTTGGTTTTGTCATTTTTGCTTCTAGGAAAGATTCTGCTTTGATTTGATCTAGGATCCACTTGCTTGCTTTTCTCTTAGTCCAGAATATTCACAAGACTCTCCTCTAGCACCATATTTCAAATGAATTCCTGTCAACTTTCTTCACTGTCCAGTTTTCACACCCATACATAGTGATTGGGAATACAATTGTGTGGGTAGTCTTGGTCTCCAGGGAAATGCCTTTACACTGGATGATCTTTTCTAGTCCTGGGCTTCTCATTTCTTAGATGCAGTCTTTATTTGAATTGATGACTGAGCCAAGATACGCAAAATCTTTCAAAGTGTCAATTTCTTTATACCTGATCTTAAATTTGCTTAATTCTTCTGTAGTTTCTTAATTTCTATTTTCTATTTTCTTAATGTTCAACTGAAATCAAGCTTTTGCACTTTCTTCTTACACTTTCATCAGGAATCATTCAATTTGCTGCTGCTTTCTGTAGCACTAGTATCCTAATGACTAAACCTTGATAAATTGCCAACAATTGCATCTTTACTAAAAGATGAAAAACTGACACGGACCAGCCCTGTGCATAATGAACCTTTGTTGCTAATTTTTAAGTGAAATCTTAACACTTTTTTCAGTCCACTTTATGATAAATCACCCCAACTTTGATTTGAGTTATACTTCAATTAGGCCCACTGTAATCAATAGATTTAGTCTAATGCATCGTTGAACACATTGTTGAGTTATAACAGGATATGGATGCATTCTAACTCATGTCTTTATATGTGCTATATTTTATGCAATTTTGTACAACACATTGAATGTACACTTATGTCCAGAAAAGTAGTTTATGCTTCATTTGATAGTTCTGTTTTTTAGAAAGCTCACTCATTTCACTTCCACACTTTGGCTGCAATCCTGTACCCAATACTGACCGGGGGGAGGGGGGGCAACACTCCCATGAACACATAAGGACTTATTTCTGACTAGAAAGAGATAGGACTGCAGTATAAATTTATGTTATTCAGAAAATTTATATACTATCCCATTTCCATGATGGAGATTTTGGAGCAGTGAACAATAGGAAAAAACAAGTAAAAGAATAAAACAAGACCAATAAATCTGTCTTGTAACGAGTTCAAGAGTTTCCAGGAGGGGAAACAAGTGTTGGAATCTGTCCGACATCCAGAGGCAGGGAGTTCCACAGAAATGGAGCAGCAACACTTAAGATTTTTCACCTAGTTGATGCCAATTGGGCCATAGGTCCATAGTGAACCACCAAGGCCATATCACCCAATGACCTCATTGACCGGACATTTGGTAAGGGAAAAGCACGCCATCTTGGCTCCCAGATAAACTTGGCCTGGTAGCAAATTGGCAGCCAGTGCATTTCCTTCAGGAAACGAGCTGCACCCTTTAGAGGCATGTCCAAACAACAGCCAGGCTGCTGCATTCTGCACTGAGTGCAGCTTCTCGACCATCCTCACGTAGAGCACATTGCAGTAATCCAGTCCAGAGGAGTAATCCAGACAAACGCTCCTTGCCCAGGAGAAGCCGATCAGAAGGGTTTTTTTTAACCATTCTGACATGAATGGTTAAAGGCACTCAGAGCCACCATTCACACGGGACCCAAGCGACAGCGTTGGACCTAAGAGTAGCTCAGGGCTCCCATCCAGAACAGGCAACGAGCCCATCTCCTGGAGTTGGGAGCCATTCACCCACAGGACTTCCATCTTGCCAGGATTTAGGATAAACGCACGTGGGACTGCAACCCAAGGATGTTTCTGAACCTTGGAAGAAGAACAGTTGATTTCCATCCCTACTGCGGTCCACGATTCAGCGCCCAAGGTGGCAAAGTCTCTCTGCACGCTTAATTTGGAAGTGTTCCCGCGCAAGAGAGCGCGCCTGCCTAGGCTACCCATCTGCCCCCTCCCTCGATACTGGGCCGTAACTCTGAGAGAGGAAGAGAGAGACACGAGACAGAGAGAGACAGAGTTGATGGGAGCCGGGTCCCACAAGCGCGCAAGCCTTAGAGATAAGCCCCACTGAGCTGTTCCCCAGGTAAGAGCAAAGGGCTGCCGCCACAGGCACCTACGTGGGGGCAGAGAGGAGGACCCCGCCTGCCTCCCACTCCTTCCTCCCGAGCCTTCCCAGAGGAAGCGGCGCGGAGAAACCGTTCGAGTCCGTACCTGCTCCGAGCGCCCGCCCGGCGCGCGCGGGCTCCGCAGGGCGGGGAAGCCCCGTGCCTCCACCGAGCGCCGCGCCAACCTGGAATGCTTCCGCCGCTCCCGATGCCTGGGTCTTGCGCGCCTCCCTTGCTGGCTTGACGCCTTCCTCTTCCTGTGCCCGCTATTGAAAGAAAGAGAAAGCGAAAGCTTTCTTCTTCATTTTTGTTTCTTACTGTCGCTATGAAGAGAGACTTCACGTTCACGTCCGGTCCGCCTTGGACGCCGCCATATGAGGGGAGAGGGCAAGAGAAGACGCGCTGGGCACCCTGACAGATGTCTTTGGACGACAACATGGCTGGCTGGGGGATGCTGGACGTTGTCCTCCAAGATATCTGGAGGGCAACGGAATGATGAAAGCTCCATGGTGTTCAGTCCTTTTTCCTTGCATGGTTGCAGCACTCTTTTAACCTTCAAGGTCAGCTGTGAACCGTAGCTGTTGGAACAATTACGAATCTGTGTCCCTCGGATGGGATGGTCCCGCCTCCACAACCCGCACCGGCGCCAAGCGTCCTGATATCGCGCAGGCGCAGTTGGGCCCGTCGGATTACGAATCTTGGCGCATTTTCTTTAGAGAAAGAGACGCTGCGTCCGGCTGTTGTCAAAAGGCAGGTGATGTCGTGGCGCCGGGCACGTTTGAAGGATCGTGAGTGAGACTCGCGCTCAGAGTCGGCTTGCAGCGTTTCTCTGAGGATGCTTGGTTAGAATTCTGTGGGGAATGCCAGTCTCGTTGTAATGCATGCTTCCCAAACCGCGCGCCTTTCAGACTTGTTGGACTACAACTCCCAGCATGCTCCAATCAACTGTGATGGCTGAGGAATGCTGGAAATTCCAGTATGCCTGACTAGAGGCTTGCTGGAACTTGCAGGGCAGCCTTCTCCAAGCTTGTACCTTCCGGACACGTTTGGACTGCAATGCCCAGACGTTCCTGTCAATGGCCCTGTGGGATGGGAATTCTGGGAGCTGTGGTCCAAAAGCCTCTGAAAGCCACCTGGTAGGGGAATGCTGTTGTAGGGCATTTTTCTATCTAAATATGCGTATCTTCATGCCTTTAATTAACTTTATAACCAGCCTTTCCCTTCTCTACAGAATGATTGGAGAAGGCAGCTTCACACTCAGATTCTCAGATTCTTGGCTTGAAACCACTCCAGTGTTACTTTACAGTCATTGCCCTGCTAGAAGTTCCAGTCCCAGGTCCTTTGCAGACTGAGACAGGCTTGCTTCTAGAATTGCCATATAATTGGCTCCATCCATTCTGTTCTCAGTCCTGACCAGTTTTTATATCCCCGGCAAGGAAAAACATCTCTACAAAACAACACTGCCACCACTGTGAGGATAGTGAGGGCAGGGAGCACTGTGGGCTTTGTACCACACAGGGCATTTTGTAGCAAGGATCAAAGGGAAGGGGAGGTACACTTGTAAAGAAAAGAACAGATACTTTTCAGCCCCTGACTAAAGAAGGCTATTTCACAAACACAGAAGACAAGTTTTTCTTTTTACCGGCACTCAGGACTTTTTACCATTGCTTCCCTTTTTGATTCCAATTTGTACCAAGACCCAGAGGTTCAATTTTGGTCTCATCAAACTAGTACATCTTTTCCCACATGTTTTCTGTGTCTTCCACATGCCTTTCTGCAAACTCTAAATAGGCTTCCATACACTTTTTTCAGCATAGTTTTTCAGCATGATCCTAGTTTCAGATTTGACCAGAATGACAGGGATTTTTTTTCTGCTCTTGGTGAGGGGTTGGCTTGTGCCTCCCTGTAGCCACAATGGAGTCGGTCTGGGCTGAGATGAAGCAACAGCCTATCATAAGTGCAGCAACTCACAGAAGCAGCAATGGGTTTGCAGTGTGACTTATTGCCTACATACAAATCGTCCTGAAGTATGTTGTCCAGATACATAAAACATGATAACTAACCATAGCAAGTTGTTTATGATGAGTTGCCAAGTTGTGTGATCCTAGTCACTTAAAGGAGACAAGTGAGGAATAAAGCATCAGTAGTAATTTATATTTATAGCAGAATCCTATGCATGTCAACTCAGACTTAAGTCCCATTTTAGTCACTGGGATTTACATCCTGATAAATGTGCGTGGGATTGCACAGTAATAGCAGCTGTACTTGCTTCATTTCCAAATTGACATTTTAGAGCTGGAAAAGGTGTGAAAAAGACTACTAAAACAAGCAGAAGCTGGATCATCTTCCCTGTGAAGAAAAGGTAACTTTATTATAGCTTTATTAGCTTAGGAAGGGCAAGGATTGCCTCTGCCACTCATCCTACTCTGTTTAGGATGTCTCTGAGTTTGGAAACTTAACAGCATCTCAATTGGATTTGATTCTGTAACATCCCCACATTCTGCCTCTCAATGCTTTTAGGTAGCTTTTGAAAAAATCCAGTAAAATACCATTTACCATATCAAAAGATACATTTCTAACCCATTTGCAGAAACAGATTAAAATATAGAATTACAAATACAAAAGCTCCATCACTTAAAACAATCCAGATACCTAAAATAAAAGTTAAAAGCACAATAATTAATAATAGGAAGGATTGGGTAAAGAGATGGGCCTGCCACTGCTGGCACCTCCAAAATGTTAAAGCATAAAAGCAACTCAATACAAAACACAGATAATAATGCATATGGGGAATGAACAGCAGGAGCAGGCTATTGCTTTGATTTCCTGCATGTGGGCTTCCTGGAGACTTCAGAATGGCCACAGTGGGAACCTGGTTGATTGCCTGGATGGGACTTGGTTTTAATCGTGTGTGATCCTTGTGTTCTGAATGTCTCTAGGGAAATGCAAAATGTCTCTGGCTCATGACAGAACCCTTGTATGCCTTGTAACTTCTAGCCAGCTTTCACAGCCCCAGTCATTTTGGAGATCAAATTCTGGAACTGGCCAGCACATCAGCATAGTCAGAAAAATCATTGAGTAAGTTTGTTCTCTCTTTCAACAAGGCTAAGAATCTGTCATTTCTGCCTAGCAAGTTTTCAGGTTTAATGACTGCTCAAGGTGCTAGGAGAGAAGGGTATGCCTGAATGGGCAGGAGTTTCTTTTTATCAGAAACATAAAAAGAGTGAAAGCCTGGGCAAATCACATTTGTGTGTGTACACACACACCCACACACACATTTATTTTTGGCTCAATACAAATATCAGTGAAGAAAATGCATACATGATAAGGTAATATGTGAAAAAAGGAAGGGAGGTAATTTGAACTTCAAGTTCCCCCATTCAGTGTTCCAATTGTACTGGTGAGATTACAGTCAACTTACCGAATCAGATAACTATGCCTAAACACATTTATTTGTGTATCATAAAAAAGGGAAGAAAAGAAGAATCCGTGGGTATCATGTACGTAGTGGTACAGTGCTATGCACATTTAGACAGAAAGAGAGTCCTACAGCTTCCAGCGTGCCCCAGTCAACTATGTTGGGGAATGCTAAATTGTAGAACTTCTTGGTCTATACACACATAGGATTGTGCCCTAAATCAAACATATAATAAGTGAAACCAAGCAGCTGTTTCATTCTTTAGAAATACTTTCATTAACAGAAAATTAGGTCCGATTGCTTAAACAGCCTTGACATTACTGAAACCAAGTCCCACAGCATTTAGTAGGATTTATTGGAAGAAAATCTGCACAGGATTGTAGCTGAAATGTTAGGAAATCTCAAATGCTGGTGTGCTTGTAGTCTTTTCATGGCCATTTGGGAAACTCCTAGAAAAGTAGGCTCAGGCTGCAACCCTGTGCATACTTATCTGGGAGTAAGCTCCATGGAACTGAATGGGACTTTCTTCTAAGTTAACTTGTATAGGATTGCACCAGAAATGTGTTATTGTGGCTCCATGTGGAAAGCTAGTTGTGTCTAAAGAAACAAGGTAGAAAGTTTAATAACCTTTCCTTGTATGCCACTGGAAAGGGGTTTTTTTAAGGCAATGACAACAACATGGGATTACAATGCCATTTGCAGCATGAGCAGAATTGGGCTGTGAATAGCACAAGGAAGAGAAATGCAGAAGTTGAGAAATTTGTCACTTAAACACAACCACAGTGTTTTCCATGTTGTAGCCTTTGATGGTTCTGTTAGCTCCTGAGATAAAAGAAACTTTGCACTTGCCTGGAAACACTATATTTCCTAGCATTTGTGTTTGGTGTTAGATAAGAAGGCCTTAAACACAAATTGAGTTTTGTAATTTCTGAAAATAAATACCTATTAGCAAACTAGGATTTGAAAACTATGAAAAATGGTATCTTGGCATTACCTATAAAGGCATTCCTTTACATGTTGTTTCTTTCAATTTCTTGCCATTGCTAAGTGATAGTACTATCAGTAAAATCGTGCTTTTGCCAAACAAGAGCGTGAAGGATTGGGAGCTTCCCCTTCAGCCCCACCCACACACTTGTTCTCGGTTACCTGAGCAAAAAGCTCAGATGCAGAGAACCAAAGACAGCTTATAGATTGTATAGATTCAGCTTTTACTATTTATTGAGGGAATAATCCCATACCTGTTTACACAGAAAATCTTCTACAAGTCAGCATTCCCGAGCCAGCTGCGGTGGGCATTCCAGGACTTTTTCTGTCTCAGGCATAGGATTGTGCCTTTATTTACCATTTTCTTCATTCTGCTCTTTCTCTGTGGAGGTCAATGTGTATGGTGCCTTTATTACCTATCCCTGTGGATATAGATTAGGCTGAAAGTGATGGAAATAGAGACACCCAGGCTACTAGGAAAACTTGAATGTGGGTCTTCTGCATTCTAGTATGCCATTCTAATCACTTTAAAATCATTTGTATTGCTAACATTTAGAAACCCTAATATATACAAATGTACTGGACAGGAGAACCTACTTCTTTCAGATGCTGTCAGCAATTACAACTTGATGTGAAAAGAACTGAGAGAATTGAATGAATGCTTGAAGCCCAATTTTGATCCATTAAGGTTGCAAGCTCATTGACCTTAATGAAACTTTTCAATGGACATACTGTATATGGGTTTGCAGTGTTAGGTTCAATTCCTTTACAGGGAGCTTACTTTTGAGCAGAATTTTGTGCATGCTATCTTTTTCAGTGTGAGGCTACTGAACAGAGGGGGAATTGCTTTCAAATGAAATGCATCGAATTATATTTCCAGGCTTTCAGGTAGTTATGCTCAAAATTGCTGTCTTAACTGCACACAATTGCTGTCTTAACTGCACACTTTGGAGCAACATCTTTATCTGGAATTCTATTGAATCACTGGAAAGTAGTGGGAGTTAACTCCCTGCTCTGTGCAATTTCATTTTCTGAGATTATGTTACTTTAATTTTTAATAAGTAATATTTTAGGGTCATACTGTTTTCAAGGAAGCAGAGAAGACAGAACTGGTGCCCTCGTACAACTCCCATAATTGCCAGACAACATGGAAGATGCAGTCCAATATATCTGGACAGCATCAGGGTGGGGAAGATTGGACTGGAACCTGCGTATTGCTGGGATTATCACACACAAATCCTGGATTAAACTTTTTTCATTATTTTTATTTTCCTCATCTGTTTAGAAAAGCACCTTCAGGATCCATGATAAAGTTTAGTTGTGACTTACTGGTTAAGAGTTTCTTAGTATCCATGGTTGTTCTGGAAATTTAACACACAGTGGTGAATTGTGGGAGGGCCTGTTTAAAAAAGGGAGACCATTAAAGATAGAGGATGTTTGAGTATGCTTTCTGTAGGTATAGTGCTATATCCATAAGAGTCCAGCAGATGGCACTGTCCCCATTTTTTGGTCCAAAGAATGAATTGTACTGATGGTCCTTTCTTTCATCTTTGGTTCAAATTTTAGTTTGGGATAGCTCTATGACTGTTATATGCCTGATTCTGTATAATGAACTTTGACATTATACCTCCATCCAGTGATACCCTTGAACAGCTTGTCAAACATTGGAGGGAACAACTTGTGGACCTCCAAATGTTTTGGCGTATAACTCCCATCATTCTTCAACATTAGCTACTCTGGCTAGGGCTGATGGAATTTGTGCACCAAAATATTTGGAGGGCTGCCCATTCGCCACTGCTGTTATTCATGCTGGCCTGTTTGACCCACTTATTACTACATATATATCTCCAGCAACCTGTTTAAAAATACATACTTGTACGTAAACCCCAGGGATATATTTATTTATTTAGAAAATTTCTATGCTGCCCCATTCGCTGAAGCCTCGGGGCGGCTCACAAAACACTAGTTTATTTGGACTGAATCCTTAAATCCTAACGTTTAGAGCCTTCTCCCGCACGGCATGCTCATGGATACACATGAGGATATATACACAGCGGTCACATGATTGTAAATCATCTATACTGAAGTGCGTGTGCTGGGGGCTGAGTCTTGCTGCGGTCCCACAGTCGAAGGACTGGGAGTGATGGATAGTCCCATCATTTTATCTCTCTATCTGTTTATTTATTATACTTATATCCCACCTTTTTCCTTCCATGGAACTCAAGGTGGCTTACATAAATCTCCTCCTCTCAATCTTATCCTCACAACAACAGCCCTGTGAGGTAGGCTCAACTGAAAGTTTGTGACCAGCCTAAAGTCACCTGGTTGGCTGCATGGCTGAGCAGGGTTTCGAATCCAGATTACCTAAATTCCAGGCCCACACTCTTAATGACAACACCATACTGACTCTGGGATTCTGTGCACATATATAAAACTGTATTGTTTTTGTAATTTAAATAAACAGCAACAACATTTTACCTAACTTTTAAAAGTTGTAATAAAAAGGAACATGCAGTGATATGGGGCAGAAAATTTTCCAGTGCTTTATTTTCCATGGGAAACTGGAAATGTTTTCATCCTTCAGGTTCAGGGGAAGACTGAATGAATGTCAGTTGCAAATACCATATTAGGCAAGCATAACAGTTTCAAAATAAAAAAAATCCCAGTTGATTATCCTTAACAAGAATGTGAAAGACTACATCTTTATCACTGAAACAGATATACATCTCACAGTGAAATGGAACAGTAAGTCATGCCTGCAAAGCAGAAAGTTCCCCATCTAAAAAGAAGAGCGTTGACCCCCACTGAAATAGATCAGTGGCTGTCAGTCTTTTTTGGATGGTTGAAATTAATTAGTTTTTCAGTACCCTGGACCTCCCCCCCCCCATATTTAAATAGTAAAGGTTACATGCATGTTACAATGTTTGGATTTTTACAAGAAGCCTGCAGATTTTTGTACCTAATACAGTGGTACCTTGGCTCACGAACTTAATCCATTCCAGGACTCTGGTCGTGACTCAGATGATCCTGAGCCAAATTAAATTTCCCCAAAAGGTTCAATGTAAATAAGATTAATCCATTCTGTAACCATTTTTTAAATCAGAAAAATGTGAAGCAAAGTGACAACAACAAAGATCGCGGCCATCTCCCCCCCCCCGCTCATCCCAAGCACAAGCGCGCCATCTCCCCCCCCCCCCCAGCACGACTGAGATTGCGCCCGTCATCCCTGCAGGCGCCCATCATCCTGGCACGCGGAGGGGTGGGGGAGAGAGACGGGCGTGATCGCTGGCACACTGGGGGAGGGGGAGAGATGGGCGCAAACGGTGTGCTGGGGGTGGGGAGATGGCCGCAACCGCAGTTCCACTCGTGCAGGGAAGGTGTGCCTGATCAGAGGCGCGCTCCTGCAGGAAAGACAGGCGGAATCTCGGCCATCTCCCCCGCGGCTCTGCTTTGCTGCTCCCGTCTTTCCTGCAGCAGCGCGCCTCTGATCGCGGACGCCTTCCATACACGAAAGCAACTGGGATCGTGGCCATCTCCCCACTCGGGATGGGGGGGAGATGGCTGCAATCTGGGTCGCCACCCAAAGCAGTGTTCGCAACCCAAGTCAAAATTTTTCAGAAATTTTTGTTTGTGACCCACTTTGTTCGTGAACCAAGGCATTCGTGAGTCTAGGTACCACTGTACAGTATTTAAATAACAATGAGGATACATACTTATGGTCCCCAGTAAAGCATTTCAAGGAGTACAGGATTTTCAGAGTCCCCCTCCTATAGTCACTGCTGTAACCCCAGAGGCCTATGTTTCACTCCTGCTCCATGTCCCTTTGCAGCCTCCACAGAAAGAACTTCGGTGGGTCATTCCTCAGGTTGCAAATGTGATGTCAGGAGAAGCAGCAGGGACAAGCAGGGGAGAGGAAAGACCACGACAGCTGGTATCCTGTGGCATCTCCAGCCCTAGTGCGCCCCTGACAGTAGGACCTCTCCAGACAGTCTCAGAAACCTGTCTAGAGAAAATACTCACAAGAAGGGTAGTGAGGTGAAAATTGTCTGTCTTGCTCTTCCTGCCCTCCTGGCAGGGAACAGGATCCTTGGAAGCCTTCTGTCTAGCAAGCGGCAATTTGATAGGGTTGCACGCCAGGTGTGCTTTAATTTTGTTCCTCAAGTATTTCATATCAAATAGTGGCATTTTGGGACAAAAATATTAACACAGTATATTTTATTTAGCTTTGTTATTTACAAAATGTGAGTAAAACAAACGTGTTAAATTTAATCACTTTCAAGAGAGTCAGGATGTTTTCCAAGCGAATGATTCCGTGCATGTCATCTTAATTTGCACAGGACAAGTTTCTAGATGTTTCCAGGAAAACAACGTTGAAAATAAGTGCAATCAATTTCTTCTCATCCTTAGATGAGAAACCACCGAGACACTTCAAGCAGGGTCATGGCAGAGAAGGAAGGGATGCCATCAAGTTAGGCTAGGGATAATGTGAGGAACCTAACAAAGGGAAGTGTGGATCTTCTGCGGCACAAGATGACAAAAGCAGGAACATGCCAGGAAGGAAAATCAGAAATAGAAGGGACTACTGCAAGGCAAGCCAAATAGGCCTGTAACTGAATCCCTGGGAGCAATCCCCACTAAAGAGGTGGGATCTGCTGCCGAGTATGTGCCCATAGGGTTGTATTACAAAACAAGAAATCAGTGGGTAAGAACTGACTGATGAAAGCCAGGGTGGCATAGTGGTGCGAGTGATGGATGGGGGCTTGGGAGAACCAAGCTTCTAGTCCCCCACTCAGCCATTAAATTCACTGGCTCTGTCACTGGGCCAGTCAATGACTCTCAGCCTAGAATTCTTTCACAGGGCTGTTGTCAGGATAAAAGAGAAAAGAGGCAGACCATGTAGCCACCTCTGATTCTTTGCAAATGGAAAAACAGTGTGGTATACATGTAATGATAAATAAAAGAATGGGCCAGCCAGTTTTAATTGCATGCTTTATGCTTCAAGATGTGTTCTGCACTCTGAGTTTGGAATGTAACAGGTGAATTACTAGATTTTTTTAATGTAGGGAAAGGAATCATATTTCAGACAAGTTGAAATATTGAAGAAAGATGGTAGCAAGTGTCTACCACTGATCTTGTTCATCAGCTTAAAACTTCTATAAATGAGAATTTCTAAAAGACTGCTTAGCGAGCTTAAAAGAGCTACCTGTCATTTATTCTTATCATCAAAGCCAGTATTTTGAATTATCTATCTGCAAATAAATAAGGGTTTTTGTAGCTATGCACATTGGATTTTACTCTCTGAAAAAAGTATTTTAGCATTCTACTGAGTATACCATATATATTTGATTTTTTCAGGGACTGATTCCTATGTAAATGCAACTAGGATTGCTAACTTTAGAATATGTATTCCCTAAAAAATCCTGCTTGCTGTAATTCACATTTCATTGCCAGAGCCATGAAATACCTATGTTTATCTTTGCAGCCAGAGTGCCTGAAGATTTGAGGCAATGGGAGTAACTAGTCTGTGGCAGATCCTGGAACCTGTAAAGCAGCATGTGCCCCTCAGCAGTCTTAGAGGAAAGACGCTGGCTGTTGATTTAAGCCTCTGGGTGTGTGAAGCGCAGACAGTTAAAAAGATGATGGGAGTAGTCAGAAAGCCGCATCTTCGGTAGGTGCAGTGATTGTAACTCGCATCTGTGAGACATCTGGCATCCTCATGGTGCTTTCCAGAAGCTAAGGCAGCCTTCTCCAACCTGATAATCTCCAGCGTGTTGGGCTCTCAATGGTCATACTGGTTGCAAATGCTGGGAGTTGTAGCCCAGCACATCTAGAGGGCATCAGAGTGGGGAAGGCTGAGAAGGGGGCAGCCTGTTTCCAGACTGGGAAAAGAGCCTGTGGTTGGAGTTTATGTCCCTTCTTTTCTGCCCATGAAAGCCCTTGATCAAAACCTAAAACTTTTCTGGAATATGGAATCCACATCTGCCACTACTGTTTGGAAAAACCCTGGTAGATGTATGGATTCTGCAAGTTTGGGTTCTTAGTTTGGGACAGGAATTAAGAAAGTTTGGGGGAAGAACTGAGGAAAAATGATGAAGCACCTAATATCATTTTTAAGAAAGTTGTGAGAGTCACAAACATGTTGTGTCTGCCAACAGATATCCTCCTCTAGCAATCTCTTTGAAGGGAGTGTGAGAGAAACAAAACTGGAAAGATTGCTTAAGTTAATTGCTTTGGAGAAAGCAATGAACGTTTCATGTATGAATATAAATTAATAAATCTATTCACTGATACCTGGTAGTGAAAATGAGTTGATGTTGTTGCTGACAAAATTATATACGCCACAGCTCCAAAGGTATCAGAGATAAGGAGTCAGGGAGGGAGTACAGTTGAGGTTAGATTACCCCTGAAGTGTTTTCCCTAGTGAATCTCAATCTGAATCTCAAATGCTTGGAAGAGTGCCTGAATGCCTCCTTTACCAACCCGAATTTTCTGTGAAATTTCACATTTCTACATGTACAGATTGCTTCATACATCACAATATGATGGACCACAACAGACAAAATGGGGTTACAAGGTGCTAGATAAGCCAGTGCTTTGTTCTCTTCCATACAGGTTTTGCATCCTGGTTTGTAATTTTTAAAAAAAATTATTTGTGCTATAGAGAAGCACGAAAATTGAGAAATCTGGAGGTTTTTTTTTAAAGAGGGGGGAATCCTGGACTTGCATCTCTAAGATGGATTGTGGTTTGTACATATTTTAACTACTAATGAAATTTACACACATAAGCACTTGGAAAAGCATGTAGCACTGGCACTATTTTTGCAGAATTGGCTGACTTGCACAAATCATAATTTGCAGAAAGTTCAATTTGCACTAATCATGCTAGAACTATATGGTTTCAAGCTTGCTTGCACAAATGTTATTGGAGTTTTTAGAAATATGCAAATTGCAATCTATCTTAAAAACTGAAGTCTATCAGCTGGCTCAACTCATAGCATGAGTCAGCACCAGTATAGCACTAACAAAACAGAATCCAGGGAGCCAAATTGTGGACATCTTCCAGATTTTCACCCACTGTCGGATTCCTTAAATATTCCTGTATGTTTGTCTTAACATATATTGAGCCAATATGAAATTGACTAATTATGCCCAACACGAAGCACTCTCTACCACAAAAATAGATTCATTCTCCTTTTATTACAGGAATCTGTACTTCCGGGTATCTTCTTCAATGATGATGGGGATCCATCTGGTGTTTGTCATGGAGGGAGAGCCCCCAAAGCTAAAAGCAAACACCATGGAGAAGAGAACAGAAGTTCGCTTTGGGCCATCCAAGAAGTCTGGGACAGCTAAAACAGGGAGATCCCGCTTTAAATCTCTGTTGAAAGAGGCAAGATTTCAGGATACTTAAGGTTTCTGGTGTAGGTTTCATACACTGAAAGGCACACTTATTGTTTAAACTATTATATTGAGTTGTATCCAATGAGTTGTATCTCATGTTAATCTAACTTGGCCTTCTCCAAACATCCAGATATGTAGGATGTAATGATGGATGTTTGCACCAACTCTAGTTTGACCAGACTATTGGACTGCATGTGGGTGATCCACACACAATAATCCTAAGCATGAAGCCATTTGCCTGTGGTATCACGCTTATTTATTTATTTATTTATTTATTTATTTATTTATTTATTATACATTTTTGTGTTTTATAAGGTTTTCAAACACAAAAGCTCACTTAGTTTTTCTCTGAATGCAGCTGCTGCTTTTGTTAGATGCCAGCTTGAAGGCGTTGATCTCACTTTCCTTGCACAGGTGTTAAATCTATTAAGCAATGTACAGTATATGCCCAGAGGTTGAGCAGAGTGTCCAAGTAGATTATGGCTGGGAGAGGCACTTTCACAGATATTGTAGTCTTAAGCTATGTACGGCTTTATAAGTTAAAACCAGCACCTTGAATTGGGACCAGAAGTATACAGGCAGCCAATGTAAGTGGGCCAGAACTGGTCTTAGGTGTTCAGACCTGCAGGTCTTGGTTATTAATCTGGCTGGCGCATGCTGTACCAGCTGCAGCTCCTGAGGGGCAGCCCCATGTAGAGTGCATTGCAGTAGTCTATTTTTGGAGATTATCTGTGCACAGGTTACTGATAGCAAGCTGTCTCAGTTTAGATAGAAGTGCAGCCCAATAGGACCATCAGCCAAAGCTGGTGGAAGGCACTCTGAGCCACTGAAACCCCTGGGCCTCAGTGACACAGATGGCTCATGGAGCATCCCTAACTATTAAACTACAAACCTGCTTCTTCAAGGGGAATGCAACCCCACTTAGAACAGGTTGCATTCCCTCCATCTAGTCAAAAGAGCTGCCTACTAATTAATTGTCATTAATCTGGCTGCCTCATGCTGTACCAGTTGCAGCTTCTGAACCATCTTCAAGGGCAACCCCACATAGAGTACATCGCAGTAATCTAACTCAGAGAGCACCAGAGCAGAGATTACTGAAGCCAGGCTATCCCTGTCCAGGTAGAAGCATAGCTGGGCTTCCAGCCAAAACTGGAAGAAGGCCCTCCAAGCCACCAAGGCCACCTGAGCCTCAAGTGACAAAGACAGATCAAGGAACATGCCCAAACTATGAGCTTGCTTCTTCAGGGGAAGTGCAACTCCAATACGCTCTGAATTTGAAGTATTGGAATTGCATTTGTTGTGTGCCCTTTGTTAGAACATTTTTATATTATAAACCAGGTGTGCAGAACCTTAGGCCCTCAAATCCAGTCCTCCAGGAGTTCCAGTTTGGCCCTTTACGGTTCCCCAGAAGTCAGTGCCTCATTCCCTGGCCCCACCTCCTTTCCACTACCCACTGATCTTCTGAAAGTTTCCTGGCTTTTGTGCAGTCTGCTCGCCCATTATAAAAGGTTGAACTGCCTCTCCCAAGGCCTAGCTACTGGCAGTAAGAGTTTTACACTATGATATGCTGGTGTTCTGACTACACTGCTTGAGCCTTCAGTCCTGGGCAGCACAGAAATTGGGCCCCCAAGAGAGTCACTCCAACAGAATTCTCCTCTCAGATGCTATGAGGTTCCAGAGCAAGCAGCCCACCCCCAGCATGGCAGTACAATGTTTGCAAGACAGGCAAAGAGCTGCTTCTGGAATTCATGGCAGGTTGTGCAGCCATCTGGGGGAAAGTGGATTCATGCTTCCTGTCCCTTCTCTTGGGACTTTTGCCTTTTTAGTGCCTGGAAATGCTGGAGTGCTTAGGAGTCCCCTGGGTTCAAGCAGCTGGCGAAGCAGAGGCCATGTGCGCATACCTGAATGCGAATGGCGTCGTGGACGGCTGCATCACCAACGATGGGGATGCCTTCCTTTACGGCGCTCGGACAGTTTACCGGAATTTTACCATGAATGTGAAGGTACACTATGGGAGAATTTGTTAATGTGTGCTTGATGCTGAATGGCCTTGATATTCTGATCGGTTATCCTGCTGCTGTGTCTGTGTTAATATTGTGATCTTACTGCCAACGAAGTGTGTACAGCAGGGCTGGACAACTTATTGCACAACTGAGGGCTTTGTGGTGCTGGCTTGGTGGCCATAGATGCATGTAGATGATAGCATGTCCATGTCCACACATCTGAGTGAGCCTGATACGAGCTGGCTCTTTCCTCATCGCTAGCATCTGCAGCCCTGATGCCGATCTTTCTTCACCCACTGCTAGACACCACGGAAGAGCAATCGGCAGGGGAGCAGATTTAGGAGTCAGGTGGTTGGGGCTCCCAGGGGAGGTATCTCTCATGAGCTAGACCCTTCCCTTCTCTTTCAAACACAAGATGGCGCTTTACAATGCAGAGCTGTATTGGCAGTTCCCATATTACAAGACTGTGTAACTCTATAAGCCCTTTAGCAAGCTGAACTGAAAGTCTGCTCATGTAAAGAGTGTTGAATCCAAACTGGAAACTTCTCCCCATTTTCATTTATGCTGCAGGCGTTACCTTCAGGGTGGCTTCTGCTGGTTGAGAGCTAACCTTTGAGACCTACACAAGCCCTCTAACTGGGAAGCTCATCTCTTCCAACGCCTCGTCATGGAGTCAGGGGCCAGGCAAAGCAATAGCTCTCCCTCCTCTCCTGGGTGCCCTCCCATAGCTTCCAAAACAGGCCTGCTCTCACAGTGAACCTGGGAAACAGTGGCGAGTGACCTTAATGGAGCTTTGATCCTCCTGTCCTCCCATTGCCTCTTCCTTGGTGTCCTCTTCAGAATCCATTAACAAAGGTTGTGCACCTATGATGTATAGCGGGGCTGAACAGAAGGCAGATCTCCTGAAGATTTTGCTCTTCAGTTCCCAGAAGGCCCTGCCTGCATGAGTGCTTAGGAATGCTCAGAGCTAGTTGAAAATATCTGGGGATCTCCCTTCTGCCCAGTCTTGGTCTGCAGAATTGTAGCCTCAATGAATCAAAAGTAGGTTGAAGTGACTTGGCCCCATTTCTGATCCATCCAGGTTGCAATCCTCTACACACTCACTTGGGAGTAAGATCCATGAAACCTAATGGGACTTACTTCTGAATAGGCATGACTAGGATCGCACCATATGTCTTGCTTGCATGGTGAGGTAGATTGTGAAATGATGGGCCCATTTGGACCACTGCTTGGGGACTGGAGAAGCTTTAGGTCCTGCAGCTCCTTCCCTTGTGCACCACAATTTCTGCCAATTCATCCTTCCCTCAGTAGTTCTCACTGCTTTCGAGCTCTGTGTTTTTAACTAAACTCCTCATTCAGCAAAGCCTGTTAGTGGCATTTCTATCTGCTTTTGTCACAAGGTCATATTAAGGAACATTGATACCCTGAAATTCCAGAGGGTATCACCATCTTACTGGGTTCTTTACAGGACCCACATGTTGACTGCTATTTGATATCTGCTATTGAGGAGAAACTGGGCTGCAGGAGGGAATCTTTGATTGGATTAGCCATTCTTCTGGGTTGTGATTATCTTCCGAAGGTAAGAAAACAAGATGCACACACAGAGAATGCAAATGTTCTGGTGTCAGTTGTTAAACTCATGGTGCAAGCTGTTAACTATTCTCATATATGAGGTACATCAGATGCTGGAGCAGCTTTCCCCAACTAGGTGCTTCCAAATATTTTGGACTACCACTTCTTGTATTCTTGACCATTTGCCATGCTGTCTGAGGCTGATGGGGGCTGACATCCAATGGCATGTGAAGGGCACCAGGTTGATGAAGACTGGTCCAAAGTCATAGTGCAATTTGCTTTATTATATCCAATGTTCCTTGCAATTGTTCTTAGTTAATGCTCCATATTTTGCATTATCAGAGAAGCCATGGGTTGTAATCATGGATTATTTCTGAGTGCACCTAATAACTCATTTCAGTTTCTGGGTAGTTCCATGGTGTGCAGACCTAGAAACTCTATGGTTTGTTGTTGGATTAACTCTGGGTTGTTCTCCCTCAAAGGACCCGGAGTTCCCAGTTTTGTACATTACAAACCAGCCTGGGGATCTTCCTGGGTCATTAATTGAAAGTTGAAGTGGTGAGTGGACGGGAAGCAGCCCATCCACCACTTCTTAGACCCATCTCTGGCGTCTCCTAGCTAAAAGACAACATCATCATCATCAGGCTAGGTCCAGGGTGTCACTTCCACAACCGCCTTTGTTGATACAAGGAGTTTAGAACCAACACAGCCTCCTGCTAGAAGAAAAGGAGATGATTTTTGGTGATGTTATCCTTGCACCACCTCTAACACTGTCCCAGAGGATCCCTGACTGAGGCTGCATGTCAATGGACCAGTTTCCTTCTCTCCTCTCCACACCCCACTCCATCCCATGAGGCTTCCCCACAGAGGTTTGCCAGGTGTCCTCTCTATATATTTTTTGGCGCCAGGCAAAGACCTTTTGATTTTGATGGCATTTTAATTGTTAATTTGTTTTAATAGTATTTTAACTATGGGGTATGTCTTTTAATGAAGTTATTAGTTCTGCCAGTGGAGTGTTTTATGTTGGTTTTAATTTTTTATTGTAATTTGTAATCCTTATTTTAATATTATATTTTATATTGTACCTATGGTTTTGTTGATGTAACCTGCCCAGGGAACTGTGTGGCTAATAGGGCAGGCTAGAAATCCGATAAATAAATAAATACCGGATCCAGCCCACTAATGAGACCACCAGGGATATTTGGTGGGGCATACCCTAGAAAACAAATAGGACTTAACCACTAATACAGAAAATTGGTTTGAGCGAGAACATGAGTGTTTTAGTCTGTGCATTTAGCCCTTAGGTCTTGAGCAGGTTTACTTGAATTGGGATCAGCAACCCTTGTGACTCGCTAGCCTTTTCAGGATGAAATGAGCTCAGCACTCATTTATGAGTCAGACTTGCAATGAATAAGATACACCCCTCTCTGGAGAAGAAAAACCACATCCCTAAGATAAATTGGGAAAGCAATTGAGCAGAAGCAGCCCAATTCATACGCCCAAGTGTTTTTGTTTCCCACATTTCAGTTGTCGTTTCCCTCTGGCAGCCTGCACAGCCATGGTGGCAGTCCATGAGGCTGCTCATCAGCACTGATGAAATTTCCCACTTCCCCACCCCACTGCCCAATAAATGCAAACAAATATAAACTAGAGTTAAGTTGCAACCTAACCCTAACCCTTTACATAAGTGTCAGGCTAATTTGCTAATTTTGTTTCACGTGTAAAGATCTGAACAACCATACCATGGGAAAGCTTTGTGCAGTGCTGCAGTGTCCTTCTTTCGCCTTTGATGTCCGCTTTTGCCGGAATGGGGGTGAGCAGAAAGTTGTTTAGCTGATGCAACTGCCGAATAAAATTGTTCAGTGCTTTGCCGCCTGCTTTCAGTTTCAAAGTATCACCCAGCCACTCACCATGCCTTTCATTTTGGTCAGGTGGTTTTGGTTTGCCAGTCAGCACCTTATTTACTTCAAGAGCCTCAGCATGATTAGCATCCTGTTTAATTTACTTGTGCAGGAAAGGAGAGCTGAGCAACACAGAGTTCTTCCATCTTGTAGCAAGTGTAACTTTGGAGAAAGCATCCTTGAAAGTATTTGACTGAGAGGAGAGTAATAGTTTTTGCACATTCCTAACAGTTGCTTCATAGCTGTTTGTGGCAATGCATCACTCAAATCATTAGCATGCTTTTGTGAGTGGATGCTTTTCCTTTTTGCTTTGCTTATCACTATTTGTTGCGCATCTGATCTTTTGCCTCAGTTTTAACTTCATGTAAAGGCAAGGCTTTCTCTCTCATCCTATATTGTCAGGTTGTTGTGAGGATAAGATACCCATGCAAGCCACCCTGAGCTGCCTGGAGAAAGGGCAAGATAAAGATGCCCTGATTATATAATTAGTATTCAGCCATTATCTTTTCAACCCGCTCTCTGGTATTTCTGCTCACTCACAGCCAAATGTCTGTTGTGATTGTATTCTTCTTGAGCCTGAGTGCGGTTCTTTGAGCTCCTCCATGCTGTAGCTGAATGACTTGTGCTCACCACATACAGAGCAGAGACCAGGTGGGTGTTTGGCTCTCCTTGGCAACTGCAGCTTTCCAGGTGGTTGCAGCAGAGTATGAAAAGGCCAGCCCAAGATCAAGTCAGTGCATGTGGCAGTTGCAGAGCTGGCCTGTCTTGCAGAACTGCAGGTAAACCATGGGCAACCTCAAAGTAAAAATGGCTCCTGTGGGCCCAACAAGTGAGCCCTGGAATGCAAACCCATGCCCACTATCATTCATGTATTTTTAATTCCTGTATAACTAACAAGATTCCTAAGGGGTGAACAATAAAAAAAACAATAGCATACAGAATAAAAATATTTAAAACCTAATACTTATGTTTAGCTATTTTGGTTGCTTCTGTTTGCAAATCCCAGCTGCCTGGCATTTCCTGCCCCAGGCTTGCAAGGTCAAAGCAGTGACCTTCAGTTCTTGGGGTAACAGTTCCAATCATGGCTTCAGGATGGGCGTAACAACTACCTTCGGCTTGCATTGCACTTTGACCTTTGGACTGCGTGGCAGCTGTCGCCACACTTTCACTTGCCACTCTCACTATTTTTGCAGCTCTGACTCATAATAATTTGAGAACTGAGTATTTTACATCCATTTGTTACAGTCTTAGTTAAACCAATGTGAACTACAGGCTAACTTGGAAGGAGAGCAGAATGTTACAGTTTTTTGAGGCGCAAACAATCACTCCTGCTGTTTAGGCCTTTTATTTCCATGTTACCCATAGCATGATGCGGCTAAACTGGTGTTTTTTATTTGGGTTGCAGCAGCAGATATGTGCCAAAACCAATGTATGCCTTTTTAACCTGTGTCTATGTATACATTGTTTAACAGTTTGTATAAAGAGTCTTAGTGAGAACTGGTATGGGGGAAGGGGTTGCAACACATAATGGATGCATTAATTTTAATACATAGATGAATTAATAAATGAATACATTTTATCTGGAATGTTTGCATGTGTGATACTGTGTTGTCTCTAAAAGGGAGTTCCTGGAGTTGGAAAAGAACAGGCTTTAAAGTTGATCAGGACTTTGAGAGGACAGAGTTTATTAAAAAGGTATATTTTAAACTTAATTCCAACACTATTTCCTGCTTGCATCTTTCTTTGAATAAGTAGCTGTTCTGTGTGATTCAGGCTGACATTTAGGATGTAATGCAACAAACTAAAAATATAGTATTAAAAGCTAAACCACATTGTGTAATTTGAAACTAGGATCTTATTCAATCTTTATTTGAAGCTCTTTCATCCCACTTTTCAGCCCCCAAGTCTGAAGATAAAATCAATAAAAACAAGACAGTTCCTGTCCGCAGGCGTATAGTCTATAAGACAGGTCACAAAAGTAAAGAGGATGGGAGGAAAGCAAGCTGAGGCACCAGGTCTTGAAGTTAAACTGTAGTTCTGGTAATGATCAGCCAACATGGAAATGATTCAGGGAGAGGGGCAGCCTCTCTTGGAGCTAGTTTTTCAGCAGAACTATGTGATGACCCTGCTTTCCATCTGCAACAGCTTGATGAGCTCTTCCATTCTTCACTATATTTTGTTTTAAATTCTAGTTGTGTTTATACACCACCGATGAAAAAGAGTTCAAACTATCACAGAGATTCCAGATTACTCTCCCAATTTTTTAAGAGTCTGCTTAGCTTTAGCAGAAGATCAGCATTTGCTTCCAGCTAGTTCTCTAGGCAAATATTATATATTTTCCCTCTTTTTTTCAGAATCAGAATCTTATATTCTTTCACTTTTTAAGACCAGAAAGATTCAAATTCCTTTATAATATTCTGTAGTTTGTACAACTAGAGCTTCAGAGATACAACTAACAAATGGAATACATCTTCAAGAAGGTGCTTATAAGAGAGGCAATACCCAACATGTTGTGAACAAAACTGACCTGCATGGCTAGCCAATGTTGTATGCTGCATCGTCATCTAATGTTGTTTTAGATTTGAGCAGTGGAAAGACCATGCCCAAAACAGGGATATTGCAGCCTCAGCAGCCAAAAAGGTGACCCACTGTGCTGTGTGCCGTCATCCAGGTGAGTCAGTTTATGGATTAAGAAAAGAAATACAGAACTGTGGCCACCCCTTAAACCGTGTATAGCAGTCTAAAAGGTAGTCTAAGAGGAGCTTGGTGTGAGCTGCAGCTAACTATGATAAATTAGAAATGATTAGCAAATTATCTCTCACATGAAAAGTATTGAGCATCTTGGCAAAGCAACTCTGCATTGTGCAGGTGGCATGAGGTGTTTTACATCAGATGCTGCAAGGTGGTGTTTGGTTATAATTTGGTATGTTGTGTGGTATCCTGTTAAATCCAAGGTCATGCTAGTGGGATTCCACTATAGTGCAACAGGACCTTTTCCCTTCTTTTTCCCCACTCCCCAACCCCCTTTCACATCACCCAAAACCAGCCCCAGAAAGCTTTTCTAGGCCTGTGAAGCAGATTTTGACAGCGCATTTGTGGAGAGGGAATCATGCCCTCCTCTTAACAGTTCTGTTGACGCCTAATTTAGTTGTGGTAGCAGAATGACCACCAGATTCAACCCATGTGTTTTGGGACTATACTCATAATATGAAACTATTGCCTGAGACGTAATGCCAAAGCATGCACTACAAGGATCAACCTTAAGAGTGGGCCTTCCCTTTCCCACCTTGGGTAGGGTGATCAAGCCCTGCCTTTGATCCTGGCATGCAGGGCACGTGCAGGCTTGTCTTGACCTGGCAAAAGAGCAAATCATGACTGGCCTCACACCAGGACTGGACCTTTACCATATGTGAGTGGAGGAGAGAGTACTGCGTACAAATTTGCCGCTCAGCTATGTAATCCTAAACCATAGTCATGTATCTGTAAAATCAAAGGGAGCCACAGAGATAAGCAAGCTTTCGTTTTAACCCTTTACTAACAAGATTTAGCCCCTTTGCAGGAAGCAAAGATCTCTTTTTCATTGGTTCTGTGTTTGAGCTGTACAATCAGTCCTAAAAGTCTTTGACTTGGATCTTAACTTTTCACTCCATAAATGATGCTCACAGAATTTCCTTTCAGAAAAGAGCTTTATTCTGCCCTTTGCAGAATGTAACTCTAAAGAAGCCTATTCAACCTGTAGTCTTGTTTTCCATTTTCTTGTAGGATCGTATAGTGATCATGAGTACACTGGATGTCACCTCTGTGGTACTGTGGCTTACTGTGAACCCCATGATGCTGAATATTGTTGTCCTTGTGACTCACATTCTTCTGAGCAAGATCAGCCAACTAATCCAGTAGAGGATGGAATTAGAAAGTAGGTGGGCTTCCATACCCTCTGAATTGCTCGGGGAAAATGTAACAGTCCTTCACACTGCATATTTCTAACCTATTTTCAATGTATGCATTTTATCTGCAGAAAAGCTAAAGCATGTGAAGGCTTTCCATTTCCTGAGGTAATTTAACCTGATTCGCTTTTCTTTTCTTTTGAATCAGTTTCCTGGAATTTTCTGATACAAGTGCCATTTTGTTTATTTCATTTCCCTGCTCAGGTGATCCAGGAGTATCTGATCAGCAAAGATAAACCAGTGAAGATAACTGGATACCAAAGGCCAGATTTGCTGTCTTTTCAGGTACAGAACAAGATACTGGCTAAAATTACGAATGTAGCAACTTTCAGTCCTTTTAGTAATGATGTGTAATAGCGGCCATTTCATAGCATTGTGAATCATGAAGAATCATGATATAATTTTAACATGTATGGGATACACAAAAAAATGAGTCAATAACATGCATCATCTGATTTGGGTGGTGGTTTAGATTGGCTGTTCTACCATTTTGAATTGGCCATTTGTGTCACTTTAAAGCAAATGCACAGACCCTCAAAATAGTCATCAGTGCTACTTGCAAGTAAAGGGTCTCATAGATGTGCTAATGATTTTTTTCCCCAAAATAATATGAAACGCTTGGAATGGTTCAAAACAAGAGAGCATTTAAAATACAGAAGTCACATGCTTAAAACATTTCAATCACATATATCTAATAATAAATAATTGTTTAAAACAGAGATTTGCCCTTGAGAAAATGGACTGGACCAGACATTATGCTTGTGAGAAATTATGTGCCCTTCTGACAAACCATGACATGAACAGAAGGAAGGCTGGTCACACTGACCCACAGCAGCTGCAGGCATTACGGTAACCTAGTTTATGAAGTGGTTAGAATTCACCCTCTGTTTCTTGTTTCTCTTTCTCTCTGTTGCTTCAGGAAGTAAGTTTTCCTAATCGCATAGAGGAATTACAAAAGCCTGATGCTGACGTTTTATCAAAAGAACTTTTCTGTTCAAGTTGCTGAGGCTGCATGCTTCCTAAATCTGGCTGTCAGAGCCAGGTCACAAGAGCCATACATTTAGTTCTGTTAGCTCATAGAGTCCTTCAGCTGGACCTGAAAAAACGGTGCCACAAAGCAAACATGCTTTTGAAACTGACTGGAGCATCAAAGCACTGTGTAATAGGATGTGTGGTTCAAAGGATACTCAGGTCACTGCCCTAATATGAGCATGAAGTGTGCAGCTCTTGAATCCTGGCCAGCATTCCCAGAGGCTGTTACAGAATATCGCCTTAAGGGAAACTCTTTGCAGTCATCCCAGGAGCAACAAAACCCTGAACCAGAAAGTAGAAATACATCAAGGAAGAAGCTCTTCAGATTTGATGGGGGAGCATGTTAGAGTTGCCAGCAATTTCTTTGATACCTATTCCAGCTGTATTGATTTTGCTTGGTCCTGTGGATAAACACCAGTTAACAAGCTGAATGTGGGGATCATGGGTGACTAATGTTCCAGTTAAACACAGAACGCTTTCTGGGTGCACTTCTACCTGCACAACAGGGCAGATCCCCTGTAAATGGCTCAGAAAAAGCAAGTCATAAAATTGACTTGCAGGACATGCTTTCAGTACAGCTCCCTACACAGATGCATGCCAGCACGCCAAATGTGGGAACGGCTTCTCTGTAATGCTCTCCCCTGTGGCTCTAGCACATATGTAAAAACTACAACCGTAAGGGCGGGGCTTATGGCCCACACAATGGACTTTTGGGTCACACGGCATTGATGGCATTCATCCATACATAGTATAGCCATGTCGGAGAGGGCCAGAGAGTGAAGACAGAGGCTTTTCGTACCTCCAGTGCTACATGCCATGCTGTTTTGTTTTGGAAACAGACTTGAGCATTTTGGCTATCCTGTCTTTAATTTAAATTGTTGGGGTTTTCTTATCTTCATCTTCACAGGATAGTCAAGACACGGGTTAAAAACGGAATCCCTTGTTTTGAAATTGAGTGGCAAAAGCCAGGTGGGTTCCTACATGATTATAACACTGCATCCTCCTCCTCATCCTCTTCATCGTTGTTTTAATTTCTATACCACCCCGAAGCCAAAGCTTTCTGGGCAGTGCACAACAGTTTAAAATACATGGGCAAGAAATCTTTAAAGGGAGATGGGCATAATGTTTAGCCATATCATAAGACTATAACAGTATCTGAATATTAAAGCAAAAACAAAAGAAGCTCCTCAGAATCAGAACTGGGTGTCTGTTTAGACCCAATGAATAAGCCACTTGCACCCCAGGAAGCTGCTGTTCTAGAAGTAGACTGACATGTGCCATACCTGGCCTTGCCCCTTTCCGGGTACCTAGTACCATATTAGAACACCTCCTTTGCATCCTCAGGGTCCAGGTTCAAACCCAGCATCTCTACGTAGGGCTGGAGAAGACTGTGAAATCCTGGAGAGGTGTGGACAATCTTAGACATTACTGAGCTAGATGGTCAAACTGTCTGGCTTTGTTTTAAAGATGCATAATGTGTTCATATCCTTAAATGGAGAGAGCAATTTTCAGAGTAAGGATCTCTCTTCTCTTGCACCACTTCCAAGCACATGGACTGTAAGTATCTTCAGAGCTAGCTTGATCTGTTTTACATTTTTCTGCAGGTAGGACTACCTGTTACATGTATGCAAAGAATTTGAAAAATGATGGGAGAGGCATTCATCGACTCCATACAACAGTGCTTCCCAACCTTTATGGACCTGTGGGCACATTTGAGAATTTGAGCAAATGCAGTGGGCACTGCCACAAAATGGCTTCCATGGAGAATGTGACTGGACATATAATAGCTTCTGTGGGGGGGGGGGGGGAGATAACAAAAACAGGTTATGGAGAAAAAAATAAGAGGCCAGGATGGAGGGGAAAATGACAAGGAAGAGGAGAAAGAAAGCGAAAGTTTTACAAGTGGCTTAGAAATAGTGAAACCTGGAGTAGAGAGGTAGAAAGGTCTGTGTGGATGGAAGAAGATGGGCTGGAGCCAGGAGGCAGCTCTTTCCTTCTCTTTATGTCCATTCAGGAACAGGAAGGAGAACCTGCTGCCCTAACTTTTTTGGATTAATGTTATTATAAAAAATGAACTTTTGAAGAGGCAGGGAGTGGAAAGCTGTATTGGGCCCCCTCCCATACAAAATAACTAGGACAGACCAAAGAAAAGACTGTAAGCAAGGGCTATGGATTGCACAGCCAAACTTAATAGCAGATTCCACTTCTGAGGCAGTGATAAATCTTTCTGGTATTCATCATCACAAGGGCCAGCGTATGAAAGATCCCCATCTTCCTTGAAAAAGCATTACTTTGTGACAGATTCATCTTGTTTGTAGACTTTTTTTTCTGTAGTATCTATAGCATGATAGTATTTTCCTATGCCTGATTCATTGTTCTAGACCACTATGCTGAAGCAGATGATCAAACCGCAGAACCCTTTTTAATAACAATAGAAGAGTCCGCGTTATTTCAGGCTGCGTATCCAGAAGTTGTTTCCCTTTATCAAATGGAGAAATTGAAAATTGGCAAGGAAAAACGGAAAGGTAAGCGTGAAGTTTCACCTTGTGTTCTGAGTTATAGTAAGTGGGCATAAAAGAAAGGTCCACTTCATTTCTTTTATGAAGCTACAAGATCTTATGGGGAGCTTATGCTTCTTTATAGTTGAATATTACAGTTTCTCTCACCTACTTCTTCCAGCCTTTTCTTGACTGCACTTCGAATCACAAAGTATTCTGTTTTAATAGCAGTTTGGTTATTGGGCAGTATGAAACTGAAATAAATAAACAAATATTTTGAAACATCATCACAAGGAATAAACTCTTTTTACAAAGTGTCCCTGTTTTGATTTGCTGTTTTAGGAAAGAAGAATAAAAGAAGCCGAGAGAGAGAAAGTTTAGCTGGGGATGATGATGTTGCTGATCTCCTTACACAGCTGAACTTGGAATCTCCACCTGAAACCTTTTCCAGCAGAGATTCTAAGTCTGATTTTAAAAAAAGTTCTGATTTTCATATATTTCCAGAAAAAGACTCTAAAGCTCACAGTGCATCTGTAGCAGCAGATCGTTCTGCTGCAGTCAGGCAGAGTCAAAACCTACTCCCCTCCTCACTGATCATTTCACAAAACACAGAGAACGTTTGCAGTCTTGGTGGTTCTCAGAGTTCACAAGGAAAATTTACTGAGCAAGCCGCTGCCTCTTATGCATCTTCTGCTGTTTCTGATCTACAGCTGAGTAGCCTTGACTGGGAAGGAACATCCTTTAGCATTTCTCCAATGCATGTTAAGGTTGCTTGTTCAGAATCTGAGTTTGGTGCATTGCAACTTTCTCCACCACACTGTAAAACAGCCACAATCATTACACCGTATTCAGCTTGTCTACCATATAATCCAGATCTACTCAGCAGTGTGGACTGCTCTGTTTCAGACAGTGACCTTCCTAGAGGACAAGCTTACCTACCTTTAAAAGATGTAATTCAAGAACCTTCTGCTTTAAGAGCTTTTTCCAAGGTTACAGACATGTCCCCATTTGGCACTTTGCAGAAGGTGGATCAAATAAAGGGAACTTCTGGCCCTGAAGGGTCCTTATCATCATCTTCAACTCAGCTAAAAGACAACGCTAAGGAAATTGTGTTGTTATCAGAAAAATATCCAAGGGGACCCAGTTTAGAAGTTTATCAAAGGGTGCTCAAAGACTCTGAAAAACCATTCTGGGAAACTACGAAACCCTCTTCAGGTCTGGACTTTGCAACACTAGAACACACCTGCTTGGAAAGTAATCCACAGGCGTCTCCCAAATTGACAAAAGTCCTAGTTAATTGTCGGATTAGAAAAAAGTGTGCACCCACAGTTCTGAAAAGCCCCATTAAGAAGAGTGTATGCCAAAATGGTTATCCTAGTGAAGACAGTGATGATGAGACTGTGGGTGACAGGAGAAGGGAATGCCGAGTGCCTGGGTTGCAAAGGAAGCAGCACCCAGCTCAGCAGAAGACCAAGTCCCATCACAGAGACAACAATGCTGAAGCAGGACTCCGAATCCTTCTGTGGGGGAAAGAACCTCGTCTTGGCACTGAGTTGCCAGCGGAAAAGCAGTCTAGTGTACACATCCACAATTCTCCAAGAGCCCAAAAAAGCACACTTGAAGGATCCAGTTCTCATCTGCAAGAAAGTGGAAGCAATTCTGACATGTGTGCTGATAGTCCCTTGCCTCTGTCTGAAAGGCTGAAACTAAGACTGCAGAGCAATTAAGCTCTCCTTTCCATTTCATTATGACGGGTGTGTCTTAAATTACCCACTGTTCCTCCAGAATTTTAATAGGCTCCATGGGTAAATGCTCAAACAATGGTTTTAATGGAGTGGGCAGAGAGCAGTCTTAATTAGTGGGAAAGTGGCAAGAGATCCTGAATGGGCAGTAATAAAGTTTGACGTGAAAGACTGGCTCCAGGCAGCCGTCCTGACTTTATAGGAACTTCCTGAAGCACCATCTGCTGACATGACTATGTACAGTGGTGATGGGGCATTCATAAGAACATTCCATTTCTGTAAGAAGCAAACACTTTTGTCACTGTGAAGCCACTGGCATGATGATGGGCAATCAATAATGATCAATTTTGTCCATGTCCACTGAACAGGTAGCGGCTGGTTTCTGTGTATTGGGATGATAGTGGCATTGGTGCCAAATATTTCACATTTACAGGTTTTCTTTAGCACATGCTCTTGTGTTACTTGACTGTTTTAGAACTTTTCATCCACCAGTTTGATGAACACTCTAGAATAGGAGCTCTGGGGGGAATTTTCCCACAAATCCACATGGGTGCTAGAGACATCACCTATGAGAAAAGGTCTGTAGGGGCTGCAGAGCACAAAAGGGCTCAAACTTGGCTTGTGAGTTAATTTTTGACTTTTTGCTCTCTGTAACCACCAGGGACACAACTTAGTTATCCTGAAACCTGTGTAGCGTAGGGATATGAAAATGGCCTCCTGCTCTTAGGGCTTGATCCAAGACTACACACACATCAGTGGCAGAACAGACTGTTTGACTTAGGCTACAGGTAGGAGATGCTACTTCTGAAAAGTGCTCTAACCGATTAGAAAAAAATGTAGTTTAGCCCTGTGCCTACTGTCCAGGTTTTCTATTTCCAGTGAGTTCTGAATAAAGGAAATATTCAAAAATGTGGTCCTCTACTTGAATTCTGAAGTGGAACAATATACCTTATTAGCTCTTTCTTCTGCATTAGTAGACCAGGCCTATAGGCAAGAACGTATACAGCGACACAGATGTTAGCATCTTGGTTTCCACCCTGCTTGTCCTGTCATCATGTGATACAAAGCAAACCACCCCTTCCGTCTTTGCAGTTCCCCTTCCCCACATGCAGTGAAATTCAGCTGCAATCAGTGACATAAAACTATTAGGTTCTGAACATGATGCAGTTAAGATGAATTTACTGCTGTCTAGTTCCTATCTAGTTGGAAACTGTATGGACACTTTATTCCAATTCTAGGAAGTTAAGTACATCAGGATGAACTGAATGTATTAGTGTGACATCCAGGCATTATGTTATTATATCAATATTACACCATTCTGGTTTTATGAATGTTGTAGCCATACCTCTTGATTTAAACATCAATAGAATGGCACCAACAACATTTGGCTTCCATACTTTAAAAAGTTAAATCAAAATTTAAACTAAAGTTGGGTACACCATTATAAAATATTATTGTAATCACCCTAACTCTCCTAAAATACTCCAGCCTTTTTTTAACTGAAGTATTTATTTATTAGATTTCTAATCCATGCCATTAGCCCAATAGTATGTATCTTTGCCAGGAAGACATTCCATTGATTTCAGTAGAACTTACTTTCGTATTAGTGTATTTAAGAACGCATTCATAATCCTGCAATGTGAGATACACACTCAGTTTCATGAAAATCATGGGTCTGAGCCATACCTACTCAAGACCTTAAATTCAGCAATATGTATAAACCTTGTTTTAAAATAAAACTGTACAATAGACCTTCTTAGCAAGGATAGAACCATCCTAAACAATAGTACCTTACATGGAGAAATGACAGACACAAGAGTTTACAGCATAATCCTGTGCTTATTTACTGAGAAGTAAATGGTGCTATGTTTCATAAGGCTTCCCCCTGAGTAAAGACAGTCCTACAGGAGATACTGCTGAGCACTCTGGCCTGCTTCATCCTGCTGGCAAGAGGCTCAACAGGAAGGATGGCATGTCTTGTTTTTTTTTCTTTTTTTAGTGTTTCTTCCCTCTAACAAGGCCTTTTGCATTAGATGGGCCTCTGAGCCCATCCAAAGTCTTCACCTTATATGGGGCACAAATGGTGTCATGACCCTATCCTTCCCCTCTTCTTCCAGAGGCCATAGCTCAGACCTTGGCGTGGGAATCACCAGAGACCCTTCAGTATGGGCCTGGGAAAGGTGGTGGGGGGAATTTCCCCCTCCAAATTTGTAGGCTTGTATGAAAATTTCATTTCGGTTCACGAAACATGCAAACATGTCCCATTTGCAATATGCAGAAAATGTTCCCGATTTCTTGAATCATACTTGAATTTGAAAATGTGAACTTGCAAATGTGCATGCCTCCAAAAATGTCCGTGCTTGCATTCACTGCCACCTCCCCCCCCTCCCCCACATACACCTTGCCAAATTGCATGCTCTAGTTAGCCTTTTGGAGAAAATATTTTTTCTATCAAGGAAATCTTTTTTTTTCAATTGGTGAAAAGTACACAGTTTTAAAAATGTATACTTGCCCACGGTTGGGAATATGACTAAGCAAAGCAAGATTTGAGGGAGAATTCAGAGAACCTCAATAAGTATGTTTGTCCCCCCCAAATTGTAACTCATCCATGGCCTGGGAGGGGGAAATTCCCAGAATCCCATTACTTCTCCGACACCATCTGAATTCCAGGGTATCATTGTCTAAATGTGTTTAGGGCTCTAGCCTTATTTAGGGTACACTGTATTCCCTCAAAATTATTGGTGATTTCTTTGGAGCTGGATATTGTAAGGTGCCTTACCTTATCAGGTCAGATTTCTGCCTTGTTTGGGTAGAATCTAGAAGAGCACATGCTTTGCCTACAAAAGGTCCCAAATCCAAACTCGCATCATCTCCAGGGAGGAAAGGCCTAGGAAAGGCCACCCTGTGAAAATGCAGAAATGCTGGCAGTCCATAGATAATACTGAACTGCATGGGTGGTCCATGTGTAACTGACCAGATAGCTTCAGCTACAGGCAGTTGAGAAATGTAATTAACAACAACAACAACAACACTGGAGCTTCATATTTTCACATCCACACTTCCAGTACTGATGGTATCCTATCAAGATGTAGGTCATGCCAGATTTCCAGAGTATATAGAAGTAAACAAAATATCTCTTTGTATGATTACTGCTTCATTAAAAAGGGAAATTCTTGATTTTATTATCAGTTTTAAAACTACTTTCACAGAGAAAAAATAAAATGCAGAGAAATGTTAATTACAGGCACAAGTTATTAAAGTCAATTTGATGTTTCCACTCCTTGGAAAAGATTTAAGGATATTGTTAATTCTCCCATTGAAACAATGTCTATTAGAAAGGTTTAACTTGGGCTAAGTCATGCTTAGAGATGTAAATTTCTAGGAACCATTGATGGGAAATAGTACTTTTTTCCAGTGGGCAAGGCAATCATGAAAAATCAGATTAGGAGGAATTGGAAATCATGTAATAAGGTGGTTGTTTTTACAGATCTATTGTTTACTTTAGGAACACAAATGTATTTGATTAACCCTTATAATTAATTAACCCTGATTTGCATTTGAGGTTGTAATGTGCCACAACCTTTACCCTTTATATTTTATATGGCTATTACATCAATTAAATAATAATTTTTAGAAGAACACAGACTGGGTAGCATCAAATGAACACTTTGTCTTAAGCATTTTATTCTAAAGGGAAATATTTCATTATCTAAAATGTCTCACTGTGTTTGGAGGGGTGGAATCCTTTGAAAGAAATTACTTTTCTGTTTTTTCAGGCCCTCATATGTCAACTTCACAAAATCAGTTCCAAATAAATGGGAGCACTTTTTGGTATTTTTATTGTCAGTCTGCACCTTAAGTCTGAAGTGGCGCAGTTCAAAAAAGCTATTTATCTGTGGTTAGAAACTAGTTTTAGCTGAGTTGTCTGGTGGGAAGGAACTGATAAAGCATTTCCTTTTCTAGTTATTTATTCCATAAGGAAGCAAGTTGTAATGCTATACTAGATTAGTTATCATTGCATCTTATTCTAAGTGCTTATTTTCCAACATTACAGAATGTTGCTCATTTTAAAAGCCATCGAAATAACAAACCTAGTATTACACTTCTTTGTGAGAAAAGATGCTTGGTTGTAGGCAAGCAAATAAAAATACTAATGATATTTTGACTGCCTATATTTGTGTTTTTGCTATATTTACCTTTTTTCATCCTGGTAGAGAAGAAAAGAATCAGCCTCAAAGCTTGTATTTTAAAGGAGGTTTGTTTAGAGTTTTATAGACCAAAGCAAAGAACTGTGAATACCTCTATGGTAATCCTACAGTAATTTCATGGTTTACCCTACTCCCAGTGAATTTTAGAGGGGGCAACCATCTCATAAAACTGCAAATAGCAAGCTTCCTTGGAAAAGGTATGACTGCTAAACTAATTAGTGTTTATAATGCAAATTTTTCTATAGTGTAGAAACTTAGAAATAAGGCGGGAGATTTCAACATCTTAACCAGTATAGAAATATTAAAAAACAGCCAATTTTCCCCCAGAGGCCCAAGACTGCAGTCCCATGCATCTTTGGGATTAAACCCTTTAAAAAACCAGTGGTGGTGGGGATTCTGAATGGACATGTATAGGAGTGGGTGCATGACCTAGTTCTCACTGAGATACTGGGCTGCACAATTATAGACTGTAGATGAGGACTGGTTTGAGAATACTCCCCTGCAAAGAAACATTTCTGCATCTGAAACGCTTTTCTAGGGCTTGGACAGATCTTAGAGTGCAATTCTATGCCTGATTTGAAGGAAAATAGCCCAGAACTTACAGTATGTCCCAGCCAGCACTGGAGAACTTTTTCTTCTAAAAGGCAGCTCCGGTTGTTTTTAATGTGAAGAGTTAGGAAAATATATTAAGGCATGTTATACCACAAAACTTTTAGACACTTGGCAGTTTCAAATAGTATGGCATGATACAGGTTTGCTACTTCAGTAAGTAAGTTCAAGTGTCATAAATCTGTCAAGGTCTTAGGACAGATTCAACTATACAAGACATTTCCCTCTGCCTGCAGCTATTGAAATGACTACTGTGTCTGCAAAAATATGACTTGAGAAGCTTCCCTGAGCTATAAATGTTGCCCTTAGTGTACCAAAAGTTGACTAAATTTATATCTAAATATAAAAGTGTTAGGCTGCCATTCTTGTTCTTCAGAAACATATAAACATGAATTCTAGAAAATGTTTGTGTTCATTGCATGTAGCCTTTCAGTTCAAAAGAGCTATCTTTCTGAAAGAATTTAAACCAGAAAGCTAAGAAAAAAAGTTTTCAGAAGCGCGCCCACGCGGACACACACACACACAATCTTAAAGGTTAATCTCAGTTTCTACAGGACTCTTCACTGATTTATTATAACAGGGATCTGGATACTAAGACATAAATCCTGTTTTTACAAAGCTATATAGCAAATTATAAAGCTTTATGGCAATACTCATGATTAAATTGCTCACAAATCTATATGACTCCTGTTATTATAGGAAGCATTATGATTTTTGTTGTCATCTGTGCGCTTGCTATCTGACAAAAAGCAGCAGCAGCTGGTTAAAAAACTAGCATATCATAGCTGCCCTGTACCTTTAAACAACATTAGAAACACAAAGTATTTGTTTCCTGAAGGGCAAAGTGCTAAATCTACCACTGTGTTTTACTGTTTCACCAGTAGCACTTTGCTTATAACAGACCTAGTAATATTGCTAACTGCAGCTTCCTTTCATCTGTTGATGTAAAATGTCAAAGCTTCACACCTTCTTAGACATGAAAAGATTTTTACCTTGACTCCAGATAACAGTTCCCATTAATCTCACTGTGAGCCTCCACACAAGTGCTAACTCTAAGCTTCTCAGAGATGGCTTCAAGATAGCTCCCTGTTATAATGAGGAGTCATTCAGGAAATTCTCTTTAAAGAGATGAGTCTGGCTTTCTTTTTCTTCTCTTAAAAAAATGTAATCAACTCAGTTTTAAAGCTAAGAAGATTTCTTGTTTCTGAAATACAGTACATGCAAGACATCAGCTGATTCTAATGCTTTCCCTATTATTTCTATTTTTAGTGAAAGTGCTTTACACGTAGCAAAGCAGTTGTTGTTGAACCTGGCAGCAATAGAGTGAATGAAGGCTTCTATAGAATTAAAGCCAAGAAAAGAACCAATTCTGCACAACTCCCACACTTACTAAGGTTGAGGTAGGCAATATGTTTTCTCCACAACTCTACATGTGGAAGTAGAATGGTATTTCTCTAGAAGGTC